AAAAAAAAAAAATACTGCTGAATTTATTCCGCTGAACTGCATTTCCCATCAGGATAAGTTGAAAGAATGGAAAGCAGAAGTATCTCTTTACTTTTGCGTTGAGCTTGCATGTTAAACAGACTGTAGGGATTGTATTGTAAGTCCAGCCAACTTACAATTTTCTTCCATTTCATCCTCCTGTTCTGGTACCATGTTTTCACTTGGAGCTGACTCAGACCGAGAGACTCTGCGAGATCTATTCTGTAAGACACAAAATCAAACATATCATTAGAAGAAGAAAAAAGCAGTGTGGACCACACTTCCAAAGACCTCATCAAGTCACCAGGATAATAATGAGGTTTTATTGCTACCTGTTGCAGCTTGTAATAGCCTCATTTCGCTTTAGCTTTCTAAAGGTGGAACGACCCAGATCAAATGGAAGCTCTCACCACCGGCCACCGTGAAAGCGCTCAGGTGTGGTTTGAGCAGCCAGGTTAACGCAGCAGTTTTAGATTAAAAGCTGGACGAGGTTCGTTCGTTTAAACACACACTCAGTGTTTCAATGCAAATAGGAAACAGATAATAAAGACATGAATTAGTGATGTGAGAGAAGTTTTGCAGTGCTGTGAAGCAGTCTGCAGATTACAGGCTGGAAGAAATCCTACAGTAAGTCCCGGGAAAGCAGCTGTCTTTTTCGCCATTATCCTCGGCGGTTTCCTGCGCACCTGTCGGGTGTAGAGAGGTACTTCTGCTTCTCGAATCGTTTCTCCAGGCCCATCAGCTGCAGCTCGGTGAACACGGTGCGGCTGCGGCGGCCCTTCTTGGTCTTGCTGCCTGCGTCGGCTCCGTGCTCCAGCTTCCCGCGGAGGTGGAGGTCCAGCGGCAGGTGGTGGGACGCCGCGCCTACCTGAAGGCCCGGAGCCGCGGACAGGAGCGGGGAGCCCAGCGAGCAGGACAGCGGGGACATGGGAAACTTTAGGAGGCTCGTCTGGTCGGCTTTAAGCACTGTGAACATGCCGGGGAAAGGAAACAACATATTACCCACGGCAATGAGGAGCAGATTTCAAAACGAGTTGGTTTTATTTACTCGATGTTTTCGAGGAGTGGGGACCCAAGGGGAACAACGGCGTAAACTACAAGTGGACCTTTAAAATCGATTCCCTGATCGTTTAAGGTGGGCAGCTCTCGGAGGCTAAACGAGTTCCCCGCAAACGAAAAGTCGTTTTAATATCGTGTGTTTTCTGCAGAGGACGCATGTGACAGCACGCACACGCTGGAGCAGATTTCAAAGCGCTGCTGCCACACGGACAGAAAAGCATGAATGACGTAGATACGATGAAGTTCTACTTATTTCTGATACCAAACATTATAAGCGTGGAAGGTTAGAATAAGGCGTCAGTATTATTGTGTTATTGTCGTTAGACATGTTTTCAAAGGTTAAAGGTCACATGATGTGAACATTAAACGAAACAAAGCACAGCTTCAAGCTTTAAAATTGGAGTAGCTACTGTGAATATTAAAGAGGCCTGAAATTATTATTAATAATCGGGAAAGGAAATTAGTCTTTCTCGTTCTGTGACTCGAATTGGAAAAAAGGCAAATGCAGTTCTACCCTAAATTATTATTATTATTATTATTATTATTATTATTATTATTATTATTATTATTATTATTATTATTATTATTATTATTTCTAGATATTGATCCATCATATTTAGATACCGTCACCGAGCGCTCATCAAAAGAAGAGCTAAGATTAACATGAATCTCATCGGTGATCCACGTTTTAACTCATTTAAGCTTCTAATATGTTTTTGTTTCTTATGTTATATTCTGTTTCTTAATCAGATAAAACCCATTATTTTAAAACTTTACAGTAATCCATTTTCATAATGCGCCTGCCTTTTTCTTGTTTACAGTGTTACTTAAAAACAGCGATAAGAAAGGAAACATTTCCCCCATGCCTACATTTGTAATTAAATGTGAAATCCCCTTTGAATATTTCGCTATTGTATTAAATATTAATGCGTGTATTATCCCGGTGTGTTTTTTCCACACCGCTATGAAAGACTCATCCATCTTTTGCCTTACCCAGTTGGTTATGGAAAGGCCGCGCGGAGAGTAGAGCTTGTACTCCGAATTTAAGCAGCTCCCCGGCCGGAGCCGAAACTTTGTGCTCCGGGTGATCTGTGAGGATCTCCTCTATCATGAAACTCCTGTAGCGATGAGTTCTGTGGTCTGCATGAACATCCGGAGGATAGTAATGCGCCCCCATGTCCAAAGGATGCTGCATAATCTGGCTGTCGGTCACCGGAGCGCGTTTACCCGATTATCACTCCCTTTCAGTGGCCCAAGCCGGAACTCATATTCCCTCTGTTGCGCTGCTGTAGTCCGAAGATCAACGCTGTGGGCAAAGTTATCCTCAGATTTAGGATCAAGGCAAGTATTGAGTACAGGTTGCCGACTTTTTCTGTGCGCCTGCGGCTCCTGGTTTCTTTTTTTTCTCTTTTCTTTCTTTGTGTTTGTTTTTTCTTACGGTCTACTTCTGTCCAGATTTGATCCCATGTGGAGCAGAAATCTGGAACCGAAAGCAAAACTTTGACCCAAAACTCCCAAATCCTGCCGCGTTCATGCCCGGTCCCTGCGTGTGAAGCGCGGAGCTCGGAGCTATTTGTCAGGAGCGGAGCTCGTCACCTTGGCAGTGAGTTGAGGAATAAGCTTCGGATTTTAAGAGTCTCGTCATAGCTCCACCTCTTCTCGGGGTTTGTGTGCTGTCTGCCTTTGCTGACCCAAAGTTACATGCAAAGCCACACTTGTCCTGCATGGATTTATGCAAAAGGGAAGAAAATAAGGACCTGAGAGGACGGGCCTGCAAGTGACTTTTATATGTTATTAAAGTCACGAGCCTGGAGACTTGGAGCAGTTAGTGTGATACTGCAAAATGGAACACAGGGAACTCTCAAATGTTTGATATGTGATGCTTTTTCAGAATGTGATATACTTTTTTATTTATAAGCAATCTGTTGTTGGTTATTACCCATATTAGGCCATTGCATTAAAATGCATTAATTTCGCCTGTAACGCTGTTGCCAATAAATAATCAATAAATGAAACCCATCCCCTTTTCTCTACTGCTGTGTTCCTTTATATGGTGCAATGAATGTAAAAAAAAATATTACCGCAGATATGATTCAAAATCATTGCTGTCTCACCGCTGAGGTAGTTCCCTGCTTTAGGTGAAACATCTCCGGCATCTTCACTTTTCACTATTTTTTCTCTGAAATTGTGAAAACCCTCCCACAGGACAGCTTCAGCGGCTTTGAAAGGCGCTTGGTCGCACTGTGTTTTAATCTATAGAGCGGTAGAAGTAAAGGACAGTGATTCACACAATATTTGTTTTAAGTTAAAGAGCAGTGGATAGTAGCTAATGGATCATACCACTGTGAGGCATAGGAAGGGGAGTTTTCCAAAACGTAAACATGTGTTTTTATTATTATCATTATTATTATTAATAATAATTCATTTATATTTATTATATATTTTAACATTATATAATTCTATTTACTCTGATGCCTAAAGATGAGGAGAACAAAAGGATGATTTTTATATCTGGAAAGTTTTTAAGTGAAACAGCTATGAAAATTATTTTTACAGATTTTATTTCTCTCTCTCTCTTTAAATAAATACGTAAACAGGTCTAAACAGAAAATCTAAACACCATCTAAACACCACCACAACAAAAGAAATGACCAGGAAGTAACAATAAGGGCATGTTGAATATCTAATAATCTGCAAAAGGTTTTAACCACTTGTTGGTTTCAGTTCGCATTCTTAAATCCACAGTCTCTGGGACTCTATTAAGCACTTTGTGCAGCCACATGGCTGTGAATGATAATTCCTGAGAGCTCTGCTCGATGTGCAAGAAGACACCGGGTCAGAAGAATAGTGCTCTGTGTCCTCACAGATCCTTGTACCTGTCAAATAGACTCTGTGTGGCAGCGTACAGATGACAGCTGATGCTATTTGGTAAAGTATGATAATGATTCAGCTCTGCACACTGCAGGTTGTTGGGTAACAACCTCCCCCTGGTGGTCAATTCGGAGATTGCAGATTATGCTCCTTGATAACGTTTCTGCAGTAAAAATCAAGAAAAAATACATATACGTGCCTTTAGATGCTTCTACTGCTGCCCTCCATAATCACGTACACAGGTTTTGCTTTCCTCACCTTGTATGTTTTCTTAACATACATATTTCTCACCAAAAATAACAAAACAAAAAACAAAAAACAAAAACCCCGAATGTGAATATTTTGTTCTTTTCTTATGGATAGTTTTCACTGTTTTTCATTTTCAGAGAACGACACACTCAACGGTCATTTATTAAAGCAGAAACTAAATACAGATTATGTTTTCTGAACAATATTATAGTTACAGTGCACAAAGTAATCTAAACCATATTGGTCTGGCTCATTATTTACAATGTGAAGATATGAGTGTTTCTTGAATCTTTACATAGTCAAACTAATAAATTGTATTTAGGAAAAACAAGGCGAGTTCCAACAAACAATATGCTACCACTAAATGAGAAGAAACATTACCATTTTTTGAGACAAAAACATTTAATAATGTCACTCATTTCAGACAATGAAGCAGTTTCTTCACAGTTGATCACACTGACCTTGATTTTCTATACACAAAACTTAAAAGAACATCAGAATACAGTCGCTATTCAGTATACACACCTTGTCCTATGTATTGTACCAAAACAATGTCCATTTATTTTTCAAATATAGAAAGAGCATCATCTTTTTCAAATTTTTCATTTGCTGACACTACAAAACTCAACGTCTTACAGGGTATAAGTGAGTTCAGCTACAGCAATGTTCAGATTGATGTGTGTGGTAGCTCATAGTCACTGTCAAATATCACTCATGACAACTTCTTGCTGGTTTGTATGCTTGTATTTGCTGTTCTGACCTTCCTTTACCATGCAGCCTACCTGCATCACTATAATAAGCAGCCACTAGGATGCATCAGTGGACTACAGGAACGAGCTCTGTTTCTCAAGGATCATCTTTCTGTTATCCCGCAGAAGCAGCAGTGTGGCCTGCCGAATGAGCTCTGTACAAAGAAAAGAAATCTACCATATCATTTTTCTGAATTCAGGGGGTCATTTCAACAGCTAAAAATAATTGCTGGTACCCAGTGGTGCTTACATTGTAGGTATAGTGGAACAGGGGAGTAAAAAATAGACAAAAGCAGTTTAGCACTACAGCTAAATATTGTTTTGTGTTTGTTTTTTTCCTCTTCTTCTCTTTTGCCTACATTTTAAGCACCATTAGTTGCTAAGTTCTTTATATCAAGGGCGCAGATTTGGTTTAGGCATGGGTGGAGACAGATGATTCAACCACCGAATGCTGCCCTGTTTCTTTTTTTTTTCCTTTTTGTCTTTGCTTCTTGATAAAAGCAGAAATATATTTGCCTACATATGCCATTCTACATGCTTTTAAACCATTTAAAATTACAATTCATAGTTTTATATGTGAATTATATAAAGTTAAATTACTATTAAGCAAATGACTGACTAAGTATTTTAGGCTTTAGTTTACTTCAGCCATGTAACACAGGGTCTGGCTACCATAATCTGTAGTGGGCAAAAGCAAGATGACTGATCAGAGTGAATCGCAGTCTGGCTCAAATCGAGAAGCACCAGTTTCTAGTGCAGGGTTGAGGCTCTTTGGTATGATCCCTATGTTTAATATGGTCACAACTAAATTTAGAGGGAAGGATTCAGATATTAGTCTAGGTGAATGGAAAAGTAATTTGCAGACAACATTTGCTTTGCAAGGAGTTCCTGTAGATTTTAGAGCAGAATTAACACTCTGTTACTTAGAAGGCAAGGCTAAAAGAGAGATTTTAATTCTAGCACCAGAGAAGTGTAATTGACCTGAGCTAATTTTTAATGAGTTAGATAAGTTGTATGGGGATAAAACAACTGCTTCGGTCCTGCGCTCTCAGTTCTTCAACGCTCGCCAAGAAACACATAAAGACATCAGTTCATTTGCACTGAGATTACAAGAACACTTTCTCAGGTTAAAGAGGAAGGACCCTAGAGGTATGAATGACGAAGATATTCTCCTCAGAGATCATCTGGTTGTAGGCTTGAGAGACACTGCCCTTGGAGGTGAATTCAGAACAAAAATTCTAATGAATGATCAGTTGACATTTGCAGAAATTAAAGCAGAACTAATCCTGAGGGAACACGTTTATGGTGAAATGGTTGATCCAGTCCAGTGTTTTGCTGCCAAAGGTGAAAGATACAAGACCTGTAATGCTAAGGATATGGAACAGATCAAATCAGAGTTGTGGGAGGACATGAACAAGCAAATGACTACACAATTCAATGATTTATCACAGACTTTGATCAAAGAAATCCGATCAGAACTTCATCAAGCTACACAAGGGACTTTGGACTGGAAACAGACTGACCAGTCAAGATCAAGAAAGAAAGGAGGGAGCAGACCCAGAGTCTACTCAAACAGCTATGATGAACAAGGTAGCCCCATCTGTAACACTTGTTCCCAGCCAGGCCACATAGCTCGGTTCTGTAAAAGCACGCCTAGATGTGGATCGTTAAACTAGACGACACCACTGTGGCGGCCCAGACAGTGGGTTGTGTCGATGCCAATGGGCCTCAAACTGATGTGAAAAAACTGATTGGAAAAGTTCCTAAAGTCAGCTTGTGTCTTGATGATGTCCCAATACAGTGTATTCTGGATACTGGATCAAATGTGTCACTGATAAAGAACAGCTACTTCTCTAAACACTTTGGCAGTAATGGTATGAAATTGAAGGAGGCAAGCAGCTGGCTGGCGCTCGAGGCTGCTAATGGACTAGATATTCCATACCTGGGTTATGTATTGCTACATGTGAAGATTGGACAGGTGGAACTCCCTGAATGTGGTTTTTTGGTGATTAAGGACCAATGTTTAACCGACAGTGAAGGCGTCCTGGCTATGAATGTTATTTCACAGTGTTACGAAAAAATGGATCAGGAGAAGCCCTTAGCCTACCTCTCCTCTAGTGGAGCCGAACAGAGAGCTTGGACTACTGCTTTTCAGATTTGTGCCAGTCAGGCACGGTTTGCAGCTTTAGATGGGTCCATTGGGTATGTACGTACCATAAATCGCCGTCCTATACAGATTCCCCCTCAGAGTGAGATGTTGGTTTGGGGTCGTACGAAGACTGGAGTGGATGGCAGGGATTATCAATGCCTGGTGGAACCTGTCGAGGTGGGTGAAGTCTTAATTGCTAGAACATTATCTACAGTCCATGATGGGAGGCTTTTGATTAGGGTCCAAAACCTTAATGACTCACCAATGTACCTTTACAGACATCAGAAGTTGGTAAGACTTTTATTATTGACCCAGCAGATATCATACAAGAGAATAGTGTGAACATGACTCGTGTTGGTGTAAACACAGTGAGTATGGACCAAACGCAAGCCCTGCCCAAGGAGAAATGCATGTTCCCTGATTTAACTGGTCTTCATTTGTCCACAGAGGAATTGGAGAAACTGCAGGCTTTATTGCATAAGCACAGAGCAGTGTTTGCTGTGCATGAGGACGATTATGGATTGACAAGCACCATGCAGCATTCAATTCCTACAGGCAATGCTGCACCAGTCCGTGAGCGCTATAGACAAATTCCACCAAAGTTATATCAGGAGGTGAAGAGT